ATACAAAGGCAGTGTGGAGATGTAAACACGCTGGTCCTCTCAGTTTGAAGTTGGTTATAACTCCTTCATTGGCTGCTCTGCACCCCCAGGCATTATCAGCATTTTCTATTGGTCATTGATCATTGTCCTTTTCTATTGATCATTGATTACCTAGGTTACCTCCTACCCCCATACTTTTCCCTCTTTGGGATGAGAGCAGCTCAGTGGTGGTCTCACTGCTAAATGCTCCTATGGGCCTCCAGACTTCCTTGTTCCGCAGGCCAGGCTTTCCTTCCAGTCACCTTGAAGCCCCTTTGCCTGTCGCCTCTCAGAATCCAAGTAACATTGCTAAATGGGATAGTGAGAACAGTATAAGGCTTAAGTAGCACAGGGTGAATGATTTGGTTTCTTGCTCTCAGATCCTGAACAAATTGATATTCCTGAGTTCCAGATTTTTAACTGGAAAAGGCAAGTCTTATAAATGAGAAGGACAAGGCCATATTTTTAAAAGGCCACAACTGGGTTTGAAGACCCTCCCTAGCTCGAAGCTTTAATGGGCACCGCTCAAGTCGAAGTAGAGAAATTCTAGGTTTTACCTTGACATGAACAAGGGCCACATGTGTCCTCCAAGGCTGTCTAGTAGCCCACAGCTCAGGGTTGCCTTGACTGAGGACCTCAGTGGGCAGCTCTTAGGGGACAGCCAAGGGGGCAGGCAGAACTGCCTGTAAGGCACAGGCATGTTCTGGAGGGACTCTGACAGGCATCTGTTTATTCTGAAAGGTCACTTGAGGCTGCAGCATAGAGAGAAGGTCTCAATCCAGTGATGGGAGAGGACACTTAAGCTAACACAGGAAGCTGTGAGGACAGAATGTCTGCTCTGCTTCTGTAATCCTCTGTAGGAGGGCTGAAGGATTCTCATCTGTTTCTTGTCTTTTTTACTGAACATTGTTCAGGCTTTTAGTTTGGGGGACCTAAAACTTCCTAAGCCCAGCGAGGTTGCAACCTCAACCATGTTGAACCTTACGCTCTTCTGCACTGTCTGGGTTCTAGTTGGGATCATCCCTTGTCATGGCTAAACTAGCTCCAGTTCCCCCCTGGCAATTTGGATCTGTGGTGATTGATTAGCCTTTTCTCCAGTCTTTTCCAGGACAATATGCTGCTCCTGGGAGGATAATAGTATGTTAAGCAGGCTCTAGACATCTGCCCAGGAGGGGTGATTTATAGTGAAAATAGATTCAAATAGGTCAATTCTATGTTTTGTGCTGTCCCATGGTCAGGATTATTCTGTTTTCAATCATATAAATTAGAAGTGGTAAACCAGGTTATAAACTCACATTAATCCAGCCAGTTGCCCATTCTCACTTGTTCTTCCTATAAGAACCAGTCTCAAAAGAAATTGCCATGCTGAGAAGGAGGGAGGTGACCAAATAGGGGACCCTGCTGGGTGCATAAAGGAGAGACCATGTCCTCACAGTTTCCCATGATTATCCCAAAGAAAAAACACCAGGAAGGAGAGATGGCTGGAGGAGCCAGAGGGGTCCAGACAAGGTCCAGAGTCTTAAAGAGGGTAGGAGAGTTAGGAGAGAAATCTTTGATGGAAATCAAAACTGCAGCCAAAGACCCCAGAGCAGAAGCCAAAGCTACTACAGGTACAACAGCCACAACCTGTACCCTGAGCTGGTCCTACCACAGCTGGAGCTGCAGCCACACCTGCTCTAACATTGTCTTCAACATGGGATTTTCCTTCTGATGGGAAGACGCAGCTCTCAGGTCTGGCTTCTTGTTCCCTTGACTTCTTGAATTCTTCTGTCTTCTGCTCTAGAATCTTACATTTAATTTGATCTGGCTTGTTTTGATACAGAAGTATAAAAGACTGTACATAAGGGAGTTCATCTCATTGTCCAACACACTAACAATATAAATCTAACTGGAGAATAGCATTGTAGTTTACTGATCCATTAAGGGGCCTTTTAACCTCAAACCTGAGAGAGTGTTGAGGCCATAAAGTATTACAAAAATATATCATTTTCTTTTTTATAGGCTCCAAGCCTGGATATTTGCTCACAATGTTTTAAGCTCTGGGGGCTGTATCTAGATCGTCAGGAGGAGGCAACAGAAGTTTCCTAGATTCCAGGACAGAGCCTTGAGTTCTGGCACCATTTGCTCAGAAACCCCTACTATTTGTGGGATAGCAAAAGTTGGCCCCAGGAGCAGTAGGAGTGTTCATCTCTCATTTGTTCCCTGAATCTTGTGCATATAACTCTGAAGAAAACAGAATAAATGCTAGGGTTAGGAACCAAATCTCTGGTATTCAGTAACTGCTCCATAATGAGGAGTTCATTTGTCTCAAACTCTGTGTCACCCCACCTCCAGGAGCACAACCCCTCTCACTGCTTGGATGGCCCTCACCCCTTCATAATGCTCAGGTCTCCGTGCCTCATGAATCTTAACATTCATATCTCTCCCAGTGACACACAGATCACTGTACATCTCTAAGTACAAAGAATTGAGACCCAAAGGTTATTGTAGTGTAGTATTGTTTTCCTGCACTCATAGGGATCTCATGTGCAGCATTGAGTGGTACCCATGTGATTCTTCCCTGGAAGAAAGACCCTGGCTTCCCACAAGGATTTTCCCACAATCCATTGCTGGCTGCCACAGTGACATACTGTGTCCCCTCACCCTCCTTGAGTCCTGTGAGCACTTTCTTATACACTTTGGTCCTTTTGAGGTTATTTAAAATTTTGTCTTGACTCAGGCATTCAATCTATTTTGAGCTATTGTTATCACTAAGACATTGATGGTGCACAGACCTTCAACTTGGCCTTGTTCTTTATTCCCCCTTGTCTTTCTTCCTCTTTGTCTTTACTTTGTTGTTTCTTGGAGGTTATTTTTCTTGGCTTCATCTCCATTTATAAAAAAATGTGTTTGTACTGTTTGAATCCTAGTGTTGCTAAGGGAGCTGTCACTGTAGAGAGTCTGTTTGTTAATGATGAACTAAAATCCATCCTGCAGAAATCCTTACTCATTAGGCTTATTTCTGCTTTTTATTTTGTTGCCCAAAACATGAATGCTTCTTTGCACAGAACAACCAACATTTAGAGACAGCTTACTTTTCAAAAAGCTGTTTGAACTTCTTTGATGCTTATCCATAATTCTAATTTAAACTTTAAAGTTTCTTAAAGTTTCTTAAATTTCCCATGCTTTCCTTTGAAAATTTAATTGTAGTTATAGCCTGGCCTCAGCCAAACTTCTAATTTTCCATTCCATTCTACTTATCAAGACAGAGAAGTAGACATTATGTCTATTTTGCAATTGAAAATATCAAGACCCTCACAGAGGATAAAGCAACTGTCAACCCACTTGCTAAGTAAGGGACTCTCTTAAGTAATGCTGTCCTCTCTAAGATACTTTGGTGAATATGTGCTGAATGGTTGAGAGGAGTGAAGGTGAAGCTCTACGACCTTTCCACTTAGGTTTATAAACCAAGGTCTACTAATATTGTCTAGATGATCAGGGGCAAGTGATAATACCTTTCTGTGCCTTGTTTTTCTTTTATGGAGAATGGGAATGAGAACCATTTTTACTGTCTAAGGTTATTGAAGGATTGAATGAGGTAATCCAAGTGAAGTGCTTTGTGTCTCACCTGCCTGGTACAAATATGCATGTTGGTTGTTGTTCTCCCTATTAAATATATTTTGTTGGATACAGTTTCCTAGTTTTCCATCCTCACAACAGTTCTATCTATCAGTGTTTTTCAAAGTGTAGTCTGTGCCCCCATGGAGAGACCATTTGATGGGGTATATGAAGCCAAAACCATGAACCTCTCTCTGTATGTTGACCAATCAAGGGACTATAACAATATAGTCAATATAACAATTGACTCTGGTCAATATTCAGAGGTGGTCAACATAAGGGACTAGGCCTGCCATACTGATAGGCACATATGGTGCATGTCTGGTCTATGAAAACTAGGTCAACTGAAACAGATGATCAATGTAAGGAGGTGGTCAGCTATGGAGGGTCTAGTGCAGTGATTCTCAACCTTCCTAATGCTGCAATGTATTTTCATTGTTAAAAAGGGGTCACAACCTACAGGTTGAGAACCACTAGTCTAATGTATCTTTCTGAGCAGTTTTCTATGCTGCAGCCATTCCTAAGGACTTGGCAGAACATGTTGGCATGCAGGTGTCAACCATCAGTCATCAGGGTTGTTTGTCTTCAAGATGGCATCATCCTTGTCATGCAACAGGTTGTTTTCCTGCAGGAATTATGTTCCTCAGGTCAGAATAATAATAAATTGTGGACACACATATGATGGGAAGTAAAGGAGACTTAATTGCTTCTATAATTTTATTTATTTGTTATCATTCTTATTTACTCTCAAATCTATCATTGTAACTATTTATTATTTTTATAAAAATATTTTTGGTCAGACTTGGTGGCTCACATCTGCAATCCTAGCAATCTGGGAGGACGAAGTGAGAGGATGGCTTGAGGCCAGACATTAGCGACCATAGAGCCTCTACAACAAAATTAAAAATCATCTGGGTGTAATGGTACACACCTATAGTCCTAGCTATTCAGGAGGCTGAGGCAAGAGGATCACTTGAGCCCAGGAGTTAAAGGTTGCAGTGAATTATGACAATGCCACTGCATTCTAACCCAAGTAAGAGAGCAAGACTCTGTATAAAAATTATTTGGGGACACACTTTTGGATAGTACCTATATTATTTATGTTGCATTCTATATATTTGAAACACTACAAATGTTTATAAAATTCCTGGATGCCATGAACATGTTCAGGAGTGCCATGTAATTTTTTTCTTTTATTAAATCATAGCTGTGTACATTAATGCAATCATGGGGTACAATGTGCTAATTTTACACACAATCTGAAATGCTTTCATCAAACTGGTCAACATAGCCTTCATGACACTTTCTTAGTTATTGTGTTAAGACATTTGTATTCTACACCTAGTAAATTTCACATGTACCCTTGTGTGCCATGTGATTTTTAACAAGGAAGTAGTCAAAGATGCAAAGATTTGATTATTCAAGGCTCCAGGATGAAAAAATAGGTTTTACACAATGAACCCAAGTCATGCATGTGTACAGGGACAGGAGAAAACATATCAGCATCTATATAAGATCCAGAACTATCTTAGACATCATTCCCAGGGGAACAGCTCCTGAGGAAGATCTGCCATCTTCTCCTGGAATAGTTTATCAAAGGCTTCAGCTTGGGCCACTGTGAAGTAATTTTTCCAGTCCCCAGTTACTCCTGGAAAACAAGAAATAGACACTTACCTGGGAGAAGGGTCAGACCCTCAAATGTCTCCTCCTTGGTGTGTTCCTACTGTCCGCCACCATGGACATTGTGGCTAATATAGCAGAATGACCAGTGGTGTGTTGGTGGGAACTTGTGCCTCCTGGCAGCACACCTATTCACACCGGTTCACACGCCTGCCTTCCTGGAGGTGACTGCTTACCTTCTCTCTCCCAGCCCCACCTATGCAGCCTGTCCCCAATCATGCCCACTACATCTGCTGACATACCCTTAATGGAGCCACTTCCCAACACCCCTGTTTCTACTACTCCAACCCAAGCCAACAGCACTTCTCTCCTGCATTAAGGTGACAGACTATAAGCAGTCACTCTGCTTGGGATTGTTCTACTGAATAAGTTGATCTTGGATCCAGCCTGCTTGACCCCTTGAGAAAGGAAGACACATCCTGCCCCTTTCCTGTTCAAGTTCTTTCATGGACTTTAAATATCACTCAGACAAGTATGTCAGGCACCTGTAAGGTTCCCAGTAATCTATGTCCCTGTGGCTTCTCTGACTCCATACCCCGTGATGACCCATTTGTTCACTATGCACCATCACAATGGGACTTGAGATTCTGCCTCACAGGTGGCAGGTGTTTTCACTGCTCAGACTATGTGGGTTTCCATATCTTTGGTCCAACACAGTCTTCTCACCATCCAGTTTAGAACTGCCAGTCACTATCCTGTTGTATTTTACTTCATAACACTTCCCTGTAGGGTGTGCTCTATGCATTTCCCTTTTGTGGTTGTGTGAATAGCATGTATCCCTAGTAGAAAATATGTAAGTTTTTAAAGTCCCAACTTTTATTTGCAATTGCAAAAGATTTAGTGTTTCAAAGAGGGACAGACATATAGTAAGTACTCAATAAGTCTTTACTAGGAGAATGAATAAAAGAATTTTAAAAAGTAGGTGAAGGTGACTCATGCCTATAATTCTTACTGCTAGGGAATCTGAGGTGGCAAAATGGCTTGAGCCCAGGTGTTCCAGACAAGCCTGGAAAACACATGGAGACTCCATCTCTTGTGATTGTAAAAATAGAAAAAATCAGCTGGGTGTGGTGATGTGAACTTGTAGTCCCAGCTAGTGGGGAGGCTGAGGTGGAAGGATGGTTTGAGCACAAAAATTTAAGGTAGCAGTGAGCTAAGATGACATCGGGGGACTCCAGTCTGGGTGACAAAGAAGACTATCTCCAAAAAGACAAAAACAACATGTACTAACCTTGTCTCCATTTGACATGTAAGGAAAAAAATATACCTGTAGAGACTGCATATTTAAAGTGAGGGACATGTTGGTTCAGTGCCTGTGGCTCAGTGATTAGGGCACCAGCCACATACACCAGAGCTAGTGAGTTCAAACCCAGCCTGGACCTACTAAACAACAATGACAACTACAAAAACAACAACAAAAAATAGCCAGGCATGGGCACCTGCTACTTGGGAGGCTGAGGCAAGAGAATTACTTAGGTCGAAGAGTTTGAGGTTGCTGTGAGCTGTGATGCTGTGGCACTCTACTGAGGGCAACATAGTTACACTCTGTCTCAAAAAAAAAAAAAAAAGAATAAACTGAGGGATGTGGATTTGAAGCCAAAGATTTTGATGCCAGAGGTAGGGGAGGAGCAAGATGGTGGCCGAATAACAGCTTTCTTGCAACTGGGCACGGTGAGACTGGGGAGAGAAGACTGCAGGCATGGTGGGATCTGCCCAGAAACATCCCTTTGGGGACACAGGCAGTCAGCAAGAGACTTCTGGACTTCATGAGGAGGACAAAAGCAGTGGATAACTGGCAAGTGGTTGCCTATGTTCGTTCCATCTAACCCTGCTAGCAGCTGTAAGTATAGCAGCAGTGAGATTGCAAACTGGAAAGGCCTTACCTGCGAGCTGATTTGTTTCCTTTGGACTTGGCATTCAGTTGAACTACCTTGGGAGAACTTGGGCAAGAGTGTGGAAGACTTTAAGCATTGTCTAGGACCCCAGACTGAGCCACTGAGGCGGATAGAGCTAATAGTGTTTGGACATGGGTCACTCAGAGCCATTGTGGGAGGACTGCCCTGGCAAGCTCTGCCCTCAGGGTCACAGAGAAAGGATCAGATGGGAGGCCTTAGGTGAATAATCTAGTGACTGAGCAGCCTAAAGGCGGGGACTGACATGCCTTACAGCCTTGACCCTCAGGGGCATAGAGTGAGACCAGTTTTGGCAAACTGGGACTCACAGAAACTCTAGTCCAGAGGCATGGTAACTTAAAGACCAAGAGGAAGTGAAAGAAAAATTAGGGCAAGGAAATAAATAAAAGAAAATACTCATGAAGAAGAATCAGCAGAAAAATCCTGGCAATATGAAAAAACAGTCCAAAGCAACCCTCTCAAGGGACCATGAGATAGCTACTGCAGAGGATTCCACCTATAAAGAAATGTTAGAAATGACATAAAGGGAATTTAGAATACAGATGATGACAACAATGAAGGAAATGATGGAAACAATGAAGGAAACTGCTGATAAAGTGGAAGATAATCAAAAGGAAATCCAAAAACAGAATCAAATAAGAGATAAACAATATGAAGAATATAGAAAGGATTTAGCAGAGCTGAAGGAATTGAAGCAGTCAATTAGGGAACTTAAAGATGCAATAGAAAGTATCAACAACAGATTAGACTATGCAGAAGAAAGAATGTCAAAAGTAGAGAACAAAGCTCTTGAGATAACTCAGATAGTTAAAGAGGCAGAAGAGAGAGAAAGCAGAATGGTCACTGACAGAATTATGGGACTGTATGAAGTGTTCAAACATATAAATTATAGGTATCCCAGAAGGGGAAGAAGTATGCCCCAGGAGAGTGGATGCCATTCTAGAGAATATTATAAATGAAAATTTCCCAAATATTACCAAAGATTCTGACACACTCCTTTCAGAGGGATATTGGATCCCAGATCGCCTCAGATTTTGCAAGCTGCTAGGAGTAAGCACCAATTGACCTACAGGGGCAAATCCATTAGGGTGACTACAGACTTCTCTAATGAAATGTTTCAAGCCAGAAGACAATGGTCATCTACCTTGAATCTAATTTCACAGAATAATTTCCAGTCCAGAATTCTATGTCCTGCTAAGCCTTAAAATTGACAGAGAAATCAAATCATTTACTTATATACAAACATTAAGGAAATTCACAAGACCAGCTGTATAGGAAATACTTCAACCTGTTTTACACACTGACCATCACAATGGATCAACACCAAAGTAAGAACTCAGAAATTGAAGGACAGAACCTAATATCCACAATCATGTAAAAGATAAAACTAATCAATGGACACTCACAAAATAAGATGAATAGAACACTACCACACTTATCAATTATCTCAATAAATGTTAATTGCTTGAATTCCCCACCAAAGAGGCATAGATTGGCTGACTGGATTAAAAACACAAGCCATTCATTTGCTGTCTGCAGGAAACATACCTACCTTCAAAAGACAAATTAAAACTCTGAGTTAAGGGTTGCAAGACAATTTTTCAGGCAAACAGAATTTAGAAGAAAGGAGGGGTTGCAATCTTATTTTCAGATACATGTGGATTTAAAGCAACTAAAGTCAAAAAAGACAAAGATGGTCAATTTATATCAGTCAAGCAAAAAATACAACAAGAAGACATTTTAATTCTAAATAGTTATGCACCCAACTTAAATGCTCCCAGATTCTTGAAACAGACATTACTCAGTCTGAGCAATATGATATCCTATAACACCATAATAACAGGGGACTTTCACACTCCTCTACAGAGCTGGACAGATCCTCTAAACAGAAATCAAACAAAGATATAAGGGACTCAAATGAGACCCGAGAACAACTGTGCTTGACAGATGCATATAGAACACTCCATCCCGAAGATAAATAATATACATTCTTCTCAGCACCCCATGGAACATTATCCAAAATTGATCACATCCTAGGACACAAAACAAACCTCAACAGGATCAAAAGAACTGAAATTTTACCTTGCATCTTCTCAGACCACAAGGCGCTAAAGGTGGAACTCAACTCCAACAAAAACATTCGACCCCATACAAAGGCATGGAAATTAAACAACGTTATGCTGAATGACAGTGGGGTGCAGGAAGAAATAAAACAGGAAATCATTCACTTCCTTGAGCATAATAACAATGAAGACACAAGCTACCAAAAGCTGTGGGATACTGCAAAAGCAGTTCTGAGAGTAAAATTTATCACTTTAGATGCCTACATTCAAAAACCAGAAAGAGAGCGCATCAACAAACTCACAAGCCATCTTATGGAATTGTAAAAAGAAGAACAATCTAAGCCTAAACTCAGAGAAGAAAAGAAATATCCAAAATTAAATCAGAGATCAATGAAATTGAAAACAAAAGAATCATTCAGAAAATTCATGAAACAAGGAGTTGGTTTTTTGAAAAAATAAATAAAATAGATAAACCATTGGCCAGACTAACTAGAAATAGAAAAGTAAAATCTTTAGTAACCTCAATCATAAATGATAAAGGAGAAATAACAGATGATGCTACAGAGATGCAAGAAATCATCTCTGAATACTACCAGAAACCCCATGCTCTGCAATTTGACAATGTGAAGGAAATGAATCAATATTTGGAATCACACCTTCTTCCTAGACTTAGCCAAGAAGAAATAGAGCCCCTGAACAGGCCAATTTCAAGCACTGAGATGAAAGAAACAATAAAAAATCTTCCAACAAAAAAATGCCCTGGTCTGGATGGCTTCACACCAGAATTTTGTCAGACCTTCAAAGAAAAGCTTATTCCCGTACTGCAGAAATTATTCCAAAAAATTAAGGAAGAAGGAATCTTTCCCAACACATTCTATGAAGCAAACATCACCCTGATGCCAAAACCAGGAAAAGACACAGCTAAAAAGGAGAAATTCAGACCAATTTCACTAATGAATATAGGTGAAAACATTCTCAACATAATCCTCACCAACAGATTTCCACTTATCATAAAAAAAGTCATACATCATGATCAAGTAGGTTTCATCCCAGGGATGCAAGACTGGTTTAATATACACAAGTCCATAAATGTTATCCACCGTATCAACAGAAACAAACCAAAGACTATACAATCTTCTCAATAGATGCAGAAAAAGTGTTTGATAAAATCCAGCATTCTTTTCTAATTAGAATACTGAAGAGTATAGGCATATGTGGCACATTTCTGAAACTGATTGAAGTTATCTATGACAAACCCACAGTTAATATTTTACTGAATGGAGTAAAACTGAAAGCTTTTCCTCTTAAAACTGGAACCACACAAGATTGTCCTGTGTCACCATTACCATTCAACATAGTGCTGGAAGTTCTAGCCAATACAATTAGGCAAGACAAAGAAATAAAGAGCATCCAAATGGGAGCAGAGGAGGTCAAACTCTCCCTCTTTGCTAATGATATGATCTTAAACTTAGAGAACCCCAAAGACTCAACCACAAGACTCCTAGATGTCATCAAAAAATATAGCAATATCTCTGGATATATAATCAATGTCCACAAGTCAGTAGACTTTG